ATTATTTATTCCAAATTAATTATATTAATTTATTATTTATTCCAAATAGTCTTTGGATAGTCATAATTTCTATAAATAATTTGATTGTTAATGAGTTGCATCGATTGATAAACTTTACGCATTAACCCTTTGGGGACGGTTGGCCCCTTCAGGGGCCATGGTGATTCTCTAGCATTTCAAAACACACAGATTCCTATATGAGATTAGTTTTTATGAAAGCATTTATCAGAGAGTTTTTTGGTATAATTTGGATTGTAATTAGGTTATTTTATTCAGATATCCAGTAATGGATGATAGGTTCTTTTAGAAAATAGAAATATTGATTGATTTATGATGAAATGTACAGAAAAAAAAATCCGTCTCCAAAGGGTTAACGTATTACGAAGTTCGGTTAAACTTTCTTCTAGTATTGTAAGTTTAGCTTCGATTTGCAAAAGATGACTTAGTTTGAACGTAAAATTAGTAGTACCACTGATAAGTTTCCGCTAACTTATGACATTCGCATATTTCTTCCATTCAATATTGTCATACTCAAGGAGTTATTGACATGAAAAAAGAATGTAAAAGAAGCTTTTTCGTTAGTTTCAAAATTTCTATGAACAAATGAGCTTCAGCTTAAAAATTCTTGTCCATCAATATCATGTTCGGAGCCATACTTATCATTATTACCCTAGTATAAGTGTAAATTAACGAAATGAAATGTTCTAGTAAGGTGGTCGTCCGTAAACCAAAGTTCGATTTTCTTTTGTTTCTCAGTTGTTTTAGCCAGTCTAGCAGCAATTTGATAACCATCCTTCTTCAGTGTAAATATCTGTTGCTCGGTGTAGCTGTAAGAAAAAGCAAATGATTGATTCGGATGGTGAATGGTTGTGTTCGATTTTATATCTATCGGCAACTTACACAAACTATGATTAGCTGGAAAATATTTATTCTTTTGCGACAGATCGTCTAAATTTCAGTAATCAATAGATTCATCGACGCAAGACTTGCTCACATCCTATGGAAAAGTCCGTGGATGATAATTAGCACCGAAAAACGACTTAAAATAGGCAACATTACGTTATTCGTTTGCGAAACTATGCAATACTGGAAAAAGAACATAAAAAATGACAATCTTTTTGCTGCAAATATAGGGCTCATACAACTGGATGACGCGCGACAGTAATACGACGATGTCATCAGCTGTAATAATTAACCTGTTACTTTGTTTAATGTGTGAAGATCGCGTGTAAGTGTTCTCTTCATCCATTCATTAAATTTGAAATGAACTTGCTTTTCTCGTATGATATACAATAGCATTCATCTACTGAACAAGATTTTAAACAAATAAAAAAGAAACATATCAAGATATTGGAAATCGAAAAATCGAGCACATGGAATGATCAGCATCAAATGTAATCTACTCAAATATAATAATATGTGTATAATATTCATTCGTGTAAACTTAATCAAACACTGAAAATGGGTTCTAGTAAGTTTCAATTAGTCTTAATTTGATTGAATAATCAAGAATTGTTTTCAAGCGAACGACTCATCCTATCAACGAAAACAAATATTTAATATTTTCTTAGAATTTCTATGAGTTTGTATATAAAATTAAATTTTTATTATTTAATCGATAAGATTAAAAAATTTCTCCATATATTAATAATCTATTCTTTACAATCATAATAAATAATTTATAAATATTTAAATTATAATGAACATAAACTAGACTATATATTACACACTGATGATTTATCTTGTAAATCCATCATACATCATTTTTTGTTTTCTTATAATAATCCAATTCCATTGAATAATATTTAATTATGGTATCAGTTCAATGAATCTACTCATGTTTTAACATACGATAAAGATCAAGGTTTTTATTTGTATGTAAATGTTTCATTGTGTCGTTACTAATCAATCTTTTGAAGTTTCATATATTATTAAGAGTCTAATTCCATTGCTAAGTATAAATTAAATGAAGTATTGATTTAAGATATTTTCATTAAAGAAAAAAACATCTTTTATTTATCAATCCGTATCGATAATCGAAAACCGATGGCAATTATTTAAGAAAAAAAGTAAAAAGAAAAAAGCAACTTCTTACGTGTTAGAAAAAGAAAACATCAAAAGATTTAATGCACAACAAACATACTTCTCATCATATGTCAATAGAGAAAATAAGGTATTTGTGTTGACGACAAGCAAAAAAAAAATTTAATCATTATAAACGTTCGCACTCGTTTCGTTTCTTTTTCTTTGTATGACATCACGCAACGATTATCGATATCCATCAACTATGAATAGAAATACAAAGCAATCAGATATTCATGTACAACCTAATGATAGTCTTCGATATAATCCATGGGAATTTGAAAATCCATGGTCACACAACTTATGTAATTGTACAGAACAATGTGATGAAACATGTTATGGTTTATGGTGTTTTCCGTGTTTTACATGTCATCTAGCTTGGCGTATGAATGAATCTTGTTGGATAACTTGTTGTCTACCTGGTTATTTGGCTGTATTAAGAACAAAAATGAGAACAGCATTTCGTATTAAAGTATAGTAAATAAAGATAAAAACAAAATAATTTTTTTAGAATGTTTTTTTTTAGGGTTCATATTTGTCTGATTTTTGTGCTGCAGAATTTTGTCCATGTTGTACAGCATTTCAAATGGCTAGTGAATTACGTTTTCGAAAGATTATCACTTAATATTTTAAATGGTTTATTTTTTTTTCTTGTCAGTAAAAACATTCTTCAAAGAATTTATCTTAACAATAAATTTAAAATATTACAAAAAATTTTTTTTTTCTTTTGATTGATGAATTATGTATGAGATTAAGAAAATATGTGCGAGATACGACCTCATGCATTTCTTGTTATGTTTGTTTTTTTATTCAATCTGAAGACTCACACTCAATCAAAATTAACAAGCTATAAAAATGCAAAGATATCAATCTTTTCCTTATATATATATATCTATAAATATATGCTGCCAGAAGGCAAATGTTCAACTAAGTTTTTATAAAATATGAGTAACGTCGATGATGATGCTAATAATAACGGAAATGCTTCAACATCTTGTCTATCTATTTTTCTTTTTTCAGAATCGTTTCTATTTAGTATGCAAGGCACTCATGAACTTGGTAATATATAGCCCAGAATAAATCGTAGTCTTAGTATGTTGTTGATCTCTTAGTCATTTTTGGTTTCTCATGTTTTAGTTTCTTTTCTAAAAGATTGGCTTTGTTATTTCTTAGGAAAACTTTTGTGATACTCAATAAATACTGATTTTATTCATCATTAGAGTAAAATATAATTAAAAAGAAGCATTATACATAATTTTCAAAGTCTTCATGTCTTTTTTTTTTGTTTTTAATTTTTTCAGAAAATATAATATCAATGTTGATTTGATTCATTCATTAAATCAAGAAAGTATCATGACAAAAAAGTTTTTTTTTCTAGGAAAGAATATTTTGTGACAAATTGAAAAGAAAATAAAAAAAATTTTGAATATTATATGCAATGATGTAAGGATCAGTATTTTTTTTTTATTAAAATATATCCTTTCGTGCTGAATAATATCGAAAAATCTTTTGGAAGAAATCCACAAGTGTGAGGAATAAAAAAAAAATGATTGAGGAGAGATCACTAAAATACTGCGACTATCATTTATTCTATACTACCCATTTATACACGAAACGAAGAAGAAGAAAAACTATCTGTCATTTCTCGTCTAACTTAATACTCATTCGATCGATTCAACAGAACGATGATTAGTATAAATCAATGATTGATCTTGTTTACGATATAGAAAGTAGTATTGGAGAAAAAAGAAAAGATTTATTTGAATGAAATTTTTTTTTCTTCCTTCATTCTTATCTTATATATGTTAACTGACATACATTCTTAGTGTCTTTTTTTTCTATAAATATGATGATGATGATAGGAAATTCTACTAAGACAACAATGTTATTGTTAGTTCACTAGTAATCATATTGCATTTCTATTATTGATTAAGCATAATATAACATTTTATTATTCACTATCGACTGATCTAGTAAATCGTTAATATTTTTTGTTGAAAAGGAAAAAAAAAGTACACACATGAGGATACTTGCATTATAAAGCCGTCTTGTCATAGGAACACATGATAGCAAAGGCCATTTTTTATTTTTAATTGCTCTATGTCCCAACAGTCTCTTTCCACTAGAGTTGACGGCATGATGAAAAATGAACCAGAAAGATACGTAAAAGAAAAAAAAGAAAACAATAGAAAATGACAGAATCGTGCACAAAAATGTTGATACAAAATTAAGAAGCTCGACTGAATGAAGAAGAATTAGAAAAAGAAATTATTATGACATGTTTTTTTTCTTCTTGGTTTTATATATATTCTCTCTGTGTCTTTTTGTTTTTATTTCTAACACTTATTCTTTTGTGTTTTCTATCATAGTATTTTCTATTCATTCTAAATCTTAATGGCATCACCAATTGATACGTTTAAAAACAATTTTTTTGATCAATTGAAATCATATGGTGATGCTGTTCAAGATGTTTTTGAAAAACGTATCGGTAAGTTTATCTATTATATGTCAGACAAATAAGAAACAAAACAATGGTTAGATTATTTGGTTTTCATACTAACATAGAAATACGTTCAATATTCTTTATTCTCATGAGAAATGCAAATTTATTAAAATATATATAGATAATATTAATTGTAAAAAGACGAGAAGTTTAAAATTTTTTTTTTTCATTTTATGACAACAATATCAAATATGAGTATTTATAATTATTTTAATGTTCTTCTAACAATAATAATAAAATATTGTCAATACTTAACTTTTAGCTCGTCCATTACTTGCATTCAAACGTGATCTTAAGCGACCATCGTCTACAGTTCGCACTATATCTGAACAAGAATCCATTTTACCATCAGAACAAACAACATTTATTACACAACAAGAATCAGTATTATCATCATCACCACTTGAAATTATAGAATTTGAAACAAATACTTCATTGAAAACAATATTAGATAAAGTTAAAAATACTTTATCACTATCAACAAAAGAACGCACATCAGAAGATTTTTCAATTGATGAAACAAAAAAACCTACAAGAGTATGTCGTCATTCATCTATTAGTTCTCTATCGAGTAAATATCATCGAAGAAATTTTTTACGTCATCATAAGAGTGTTTCATTTGCTGACAATCCTATTCAATATGATAGTGATACTGAAAAAAATAATTCATGTTCAACAGATGATCAAATAGAATCTGTATGTAATGCTTATACATTTGATCATCCTAGTGTTATGGCAAGTATTGATGAAATAGCAACAAATCAAATAAATCCATCGAATACATTATCAACTATTGAGAATAATGATTATGATTTTGAACGTAATTTTCATGAATCAATACGACCACGACGAATTTCAATTGGTAATAGTCAAGATTTAATTTATCAAGATTTATCAGCTGAAATTGTTTCTTATGTATTAAAACATGCATTACGAATATTAGACAAAGAAGATGAAGATTTATTATTAGCAGAAAATGAAAAATTTATTAATAAAAATGACTATGATGAAGATTTAATTGATTTAAAATAGGAATTACAAAATTTGTACATTTCACTTTCTTTTTTTTATAATCTTTTTCTCTTCTATATTGACCAATATTATATTAATCATTGTATCATATTAAAACTTTTAATAAAACCTTATGAGAATTGAATAATAAAAACAATTTTTTCTTCTAATTTGTTTGTACAGCAAAAGTCAATGATTGGCAGTAGCAAACTTTGCATCATTTCTATTATCCGAAATAATATGACTATTTCATTCATATACAAAATATGTATAACAATATTCCTTCATGTAAAATAATTTCTTTTTATACGTCATAAAATGGAAACAATCACGAATTGTATTAATATGATTTTAAACTTTTATTTTGGTCCTATGAAAGTTTAATATATAGACAATATAATTTGGCAGAGCATGATATATTTTGAAAAAATGAAGTGAGAATAATACATAATTAATTTTTTACTGTTACGTCATCAAGATAAAAAAAACTTGTTGATTGATCAGCAAGACTAGAAAAATCCTAAAAGGGTTCGTGTCCATGGACTTCTGAAGTCGAATTATGACTCTTTTACTGCATTTTAGGTCCATCCTTAGGTATTTACCGAAAAATCAAATAATGGGAATTTCGACCTGAAATTTTGCCTATACATAGATCTAATGACTCTGGAAATATCCTGAAAGTTTCAGCTGAAATAAATGTACCTTTGTCGGGATCGATCATTTCGAGAAAATGATCGTTTGCCACAGAAATTGAGTTTACTTGAAAATTTAATCTTTCAACAAAGAAACATTCTTTTCGGCTAAAACTTTCAGGATATGCCAAGAGCCTTTAAACATATCTATGGACAAAACTTTAGGTCAAAATTCTACTATTTGATTTTTCTGTTAATACCTAACGCTGAATCAAAAATACCGTAAAAGGATCACAACTCAGCACCAGAGTCTGATGGGCACAAGTCCTTTTAGGATTTTTCTAGTCTTACAAAGATCTTCTTGTAAACTCAGTATGAGCTCAAACGGCGGGTATCATTTTGAGTAGTTCCCCCGTTAGTATAATAATTTGTGTACATTTCTTTCAGATCACCTATCATCAATGACCAAGAAGTTACGGGTGATTAAATATGAATTTGTTTGATTTCTGAAAATAGAGTACTGAATGTGGATGAGGACTAGTACATGTATCGTGTAGAAGCATGTGTACGGTTTACTGTCCGCTGGTTAACTCGCCATGGATTTACTGCCCGTTGATTACATAAAAAATATATTCCAATGAATGTTTTTCTTGTGTGACGATTTACTTTCTATTGATTATTCGGAAGAAGAGAAATAAGCAAATGAATAGTCATTGTGACAACCATTATATTGTTAGAACAAAATTTTAATAAATTTTTCAAAGGTAATATAACACTATGTACTATTTATTAATTGGAAGGTTGACATTCTCGAATGAAAAAAACATCTAAACATTTTCATTTAAAACATCAGAAAAATAAAGTCACAACAGATAAATGTTCAACGAAATTGTGACAATGTTGTGATGAAGATCATTTTGATATTCCAGCGTTTTTAAAATCTGTTGGATCGAGATATTTTTGACGTCCATCAAAAAATTGAAATAACCATCTCTCTTTGTTTTTTTTTTTGTTTTGATAATATATTTATTGTTGCAATGATAATATATTCGCTCATTTCTCTTCTTGCAAATAATCAACGGAGAGTAAATCCTTACACAAGAAAAATACTAATTGGAATATATTTTTCATGTAATCAATAGACAGTAAATCGTGTAAACCGATCAAAAGTATGTTTCTTCCTACATATTTGATTTACTATTGAATCTTTAGTTTATCTTAAATCTTTTAGCATAAGTTTTTTGAAAAATATTTTATGATTTAAAAGAATATTAATGTCATCATCATTATCACTAATCAACAAAATCTTGTACTCATACAGGATACATGCATGTCCTCATCCACATGCAATATGATGCATATCAGATCAAGCCAATTAGTTTATGATCAAAACAATTAGTCAATATCGTATGTGTGTACATTCTGTAGAAGAATCCAAAATCTTTTCACTATGATATAAACACTTTATTTATATAAAAAATTTATTTAAATGGATGATATTTTTGCATGACATTGATTAAATCTTGATATATGATTTGATTTGCTGTTGTAGCCCAAACAAAATCGAAATGATTGTAATTAGGAATATATTTTTCGTAGATTAAATTTTGAATATTATCAAAAACATAAGTAACATCAATTGGATCGGCAAGCCAATCTTCACCAGCCCAGAATAATGCCGTTGGTACTTTCATTGAACGAAAAGAATATAGCCGTGGAGTTGTTTGATTGTAATGTAATTGATTTTTTTCTGGTGAACCATAATTATAAGCTTGAAATTGATTTGATCTTCCACATTGCATAAAATGAATCATATTTTTTACAGATGTTCCAGATGGTCCATGTGATGTATAGACAGGAATACGTGAATTATTCATTTTTTTTTTATCTGGTCACCAATAATAAATAGCAAGTTTTCACAAACTAAACGATCGAATAAAAATTCTCCACAAGCATATTTTCCAAGCCATTGTAGGATAGGTGATGCTGGCAAAAATTCATTTCGACCAAATAATTTATGCCAATAACGCTCAAGTTCTTTACTATCAGTATCCAAATATTTTAAAGGTGTTTTTTGATGTCCTACTTGAGCAATTGGTGCAAGAGCTGCGTAGAAACTAACATTCTTTTGAACATCATTACTCAAATTTCCAAATTCAGCAAATGCAATTAATGTTCCTTGTGAATGACCAATATAACCAATTTGTTCATATTTTGTTACATTCAATATGTAATAAATCATTGATGGAAGATCATCTTTTGTCATTTCATCTCAACTAAAATCCCAAAAAGCTTCATCATGATTAGGATTGTATTTAACATGTGCACGCGAATAACGATTTCCACGTATATTACCAAGCCAAACATCATAACCAACATCAGCAAGAATAAAAGCAAGACTTTGATCTGGAAAATTTAATACTCAAGTTGTAGCGGCATCGAGTAGACCATGTTGAAGAAGAACAGGTCGACCTGTTGATGATGAATTTCGACCATGTGGAATACGAAAAACACCAAGAATATAGATTATTTGTAATAACTTTATGTTCTTCACATGGATAACCTTTACTTTGAATCAATTGTGTAATATTATAATTACACTCTGGATCAAATTTTGGCACTTTTGACACTGTTATAGGATGACATAGTAACAAGATTAAGAATACTGAAAAATCTAGAACGAGAGATGAGAAGAAGATAATTTGTTAAAAATCTAGGTCATTAACAACCAACTTACCAAACGTCATCTTTCATGAAGTTCTTGTTTTTGTTATCTTAAAATTCAACACAGAGATAATAGACGCTGATCTTTCTTATTTCTTATCTTTAAATGAAGATCATGTGACTATGAAGATCGACGCCAACAACAAACTATTATGTTAGTTACATATTTTTTTAAATAAATTCAGTATGCATGAGAAGTCTCTTACTTTCATCGAACTGACTATTCAAAAATGAAAAAGTCAAAACGTGGTACTTACAGTAATACCATATAAGAAAAATTTTATTTATCAGTTAAATCTACTTCTCACATTAAATCTAAATGATTTGGATTTATATCTAGGTCATTTAGTCTGACATGATATATTTCATTATTTTCATGTATAGTTTAAAAATACCAATCGAAGTTAGTAGTAGTCTGAAAAAATGATTTCAAAAAGGATCAAGTAACTTCCTTTATGAACCATTTTAGATTAAACTTCTTTTTAAACATAATTTTACCTATCATGATAAAACTCAATTTTGATATTTTGTGAGCTGACCTCAAATATTTTCATAGACAAAAACAAAGGAATGACAACATACTTGAAAATACTTCACTTACTACAACATACTATTAAATTCAAAGTACACTGTCTCTCACACGCAGTATTTATAAGAAAATTTTCAGATTTTATATATACAACCGATTGACATATAATTTTTTTTTTTTGAAGAATAATCGTTGATTCGTTAAAAGAAGCTATTAACGCGCATGTTATGATTAAGAATGTTGTGAATTCTATATTGTATAAATACAAATGATAAAAAAAGAAGAAATACAACAAGCAGTGAATTAGTTAATTAGGTGGATGATATTTTTTCATTACATCAAGTAAGTCAACATAAACAAGTTGACTTGCTGTTAAGGCCCAAATAAAATCTATATGATTATAATTTGGAATGTATTTTTTATAAACAAGACTTTGAATATTGTCAATAATATAATTAACATCTGATGGATCAGCAAGCCAATCTTCACCACCCGAAAAGATTGCTGTTGGTACTTTCATTGAACGAATAGAATATTGTGGTGGTGTTGTTTGATTGTAATGTAATTGATTTTTTTCTGGTGAACCATAATCATATGCTTGAAATGCATTTGTTTGTACACCTTGTGCAAAATGAATCATATTTTTGACAGATGTTCCATCAGGTACATGTGATGCATAGACTGGAATTCTTGTTTCATTTAAATTTTTCTTTTCAGGTCCAAATAGAATAAAAAAAATGTTGTCACAAACTACTCGATCAATTATAAATTCTCCACATGCAAATGTTCCAAGCCATTTTATTATATAAGATGATGGAAGAAATTCATTACGACCGAATAATAAATGCCAATAAAGTTCTAGGTCTTTCATTATAGTAGCAGATGCTAAATATTTTAGTGGTGATTCTATATGTCCTACATGAACAACTGGTGCTAATGAACCATAGAAACTAACATTATTTCGAACGACACTATCAGGACGACTAAATTCCGCAAAAGCAATCATTGTACCTTGTGAATGACCAATATAACCAATTTGTTCATATTTTGTTACATTCAATATATAATAAATCATTGATGGAAGATCATCTTTTGCCATTTCATCCCAACTAAAATCCCAAAAAGCTTCATCATGATCAGGATTGTATTTAACATGTGCACGTGAATAATAATTTCCACGCATATTACCAAGCCATACATCATAACCAGCATCAGCAAGAATATAACCAAGACTTTGATGTGGAAAATTCATTACCCATGTTGTAGCTGAATCAAGAAGACCATGTTGAAGAAGAACAGGTCGACCTGTTGATGATGAATTTCGACCATGTGGAATACGAAAAACACCAAGAATATAGCCATCATTTGTAATAACTTTATGTTCTTCACATGGATAACCTTTACTTTGAATTATTTGTGTAATATTATAATCACAATCTGGATCGGGTCGTTGTAGTTGTGGTAGACTTCGTGAATGGCAAGTTGAAAATAATAGAAACAAACATAGAACAACTACAATGAAATTTTAAAAAATGTAATAATTAATGAAAGATCTCGGTCGTTTACAATACACCTACCAAGCATCATTTCGTCGTAATTGTTCTGTTTTCTATCTTCCTACACGACACTTGTTTAATAGATCTTCACCTTTGTTTGTGCTTACTTCGAGATAAAAATGATATGATAACGAACATCAAATCAGCAAGCAGTAAAAGGACGAGAACTTCTTAGTGACTAACTCTAGATATCGAAGAAGATGAATACTTGATACAATGTTGTTTAATGCTAAATGAAATTCTATACATACGAGTAGACGCAATGGAAATGCACATAATGATAAACAAATTTGAGAAAGACCAACAAGGTTGATGAGAAAGAGTGGAGGAATCTCTAGGTAACAAGAAGAACAGAAAACTGGAAAGCATATTTATTACGAAACGAAGGACACGATGGGAAAAATCTCTATGAAGTGAAAGAGAGGAAAGAAAATGAATGCAGTGAAAAGGAAATATCATGAGATGAATCTTGGTCATCCGATGTCACGAATCCTGATATATCAGCCAAACATATCTTTTTGTAATAGTAGCTTATGAAAGGGTTGTAAATTGTGTAAAACTAGTCATGTAAATGATAAAGAATTAAAACTAAACTCTTGGATTAATTTGATTCTATTAGAGGAAGACAGAAAGAATATATTGTTCTGTGATTAATTAATAAATTTATTGCATTAGATGTACCGTTCACATGTCGATTCAAATTTATCAAATTCATTTGGCAAGAGTTTTTTTTTTGATTATTTTTATTTCAAAATTAAGAATAGTATCTAAAAGTCGAAAAATACTTGTTTAATACATACTTGTCCATCATCTAATATTGTTTAATATTATATATATTGGTTCTCATTCTTAACGTACTAATGAAATATACTTGGTTTTATATAAATAAATTTCTATTAATTAACACAGAATGGTTGATAACAGAGGCGTGCACTGCCTCCGCAGGTAGTACATCGTGTCCTAAAGACAAGTATGGCTAATCTTTTTTCGAGGGCAGTGACTGAGCAATTACGTCTTAATCATACCAGCTGTTGAACTCTATTCCTGTGGTTTTTTTTGAGAAAAAGATGTATATCAAACAGAATTGGAACCAGGCCAGCGTGCTTGTCGATTACGGATTCAATTGAACTTTTAGTTTGGTTCGGTTAAAAAAAATTCAACAGGTTTCAACTGTGATATCAAATGCTACGCACATAACAGGATGGATATAATTGTTAACAAACTGATTCTGTAAGAAGTACCGTTCGTTTTATTACCTTATTTTAATATCCATTTGTTAACTTTATAAATTAAATCGTCAGTAATATTGATTAAAAGGTATCCTGGAGAAACCGTCTCAATTTTTCTGACTGTCACTATTAATATGGCGAAGATATATGAGAATCGTTTAAAACTCATGAAAATGCCTACAGACTGCTTTTCCGTATATACATCGAATAACTGTAGAAGTACGAGAGGCTTGCGAAATACGTTAAAAATATTTAAAACTTTGTTTACGTGCCATGATATACGATCGAGACTCATAGTTGAATAATTCGTAACTACATAAAACTAATAGTGTGTTTTTATGCTATATATTCATGATACGACGTCATCTGCAAATAAAATACTTTCATAAAACAAAATTCAGGATCAGTTAGCAGTAAAATTAGAGTCAATTATAATAAAGTATTTATTGGCAGTTAATACCTGTCTTCTGTTAGGATGATAAACTTCTGAGCTATTCCTCAAGAATGTTGACTGTTTTTCGGATGCAGAAACCAATGAAGATAGTATTCCGCGAGTGAATACTGAGCAAGATTTCATCTGAATTATCTTTTTCTATGATTATTCACATAAATTAATTTATTTTATTTCGTGTACTTTTTTTCCTAAGAATTCTTCGCTAAATGACATGATAGTTATTCACAGTTCAATGATACGTTGTTGAAGATGCAAACCTATCCAATGGTGGCAATTGGATCTGCTCCAAGTGTGTTTTTCAATGAAAATGACAACAATGGAGGTATATTGAATGTATTAAATAAGCCCGTAACAGACGATGTATCATCACCCAGAAAACTGAAAAAAATTCTTTTCGTATTTTGTGGTATGCGAAAATAAAATACACTGTAGGTATACCCAGGTGCATAGAAGTAATGTTGTCTGATGCTTGCAGCAGTATTGACATTAGTTGGATTTGGTTCTGATAAAGAGACAAAAACAGGACAATCATTACAATTAGTCGTAAAAGAAATGATGGTATTGCTTGTGCTTATCTGTTGACTAGTGTCGATTTGTATCGTATAATATACGTTCCTCAATGCATTTGAAACACGAAATGTTTGATCCATTTGAAAAAGAGGCGGTACATCGGAAATAAGAGAACTAATGTATGGAGCAGAGACGATAAGCTCAGCAAAATTATCGAATGGTATAGCATAACTTGCACTTGGATGCGATGCCAGATTATGAAGACTGGCTGTATTGGCAAGATATCCAATTCCAACAACAATGACGGTCATATCACGATCTCTCTCAAGTTGACGAATACGGGATTCGGCGGATGGATCCGAATAACCTGTTAAAATAACCGTCACTCGTGAGGTGTCCGCGCGACATTGCCATAGACACGATGCATCTACAGAATCCAAAGCCGCATTAAGTGTAGAAGGATTTGGCTGTGCTTTTGTATATTGTTTTTGACCTAATAATCCCTTAACTTACCGCAGCGGAATATGTCACGAATGGTACCACAGTGTGAACTGTAGATGTAGCGCCATAAAAAAGAATACTGAAATAGGGTCTCGAATTAGGTGGTTGCAAGTCAGTGACAATGGAATTTAATGTAATTTTCATCTGCCCCAGTTGAATTTGGTTCAGCCTTGAATTGTTTTCATCGATCACCAAAAATAAATCCACAGCTTGGTTATTCAGCGGATTCGCATAAATGCGTCGCTGACTTGTATTGGCATTGACAACAAGAAGAACACTAAGAAAGATAAAGACTTTCATCGTGAGCCAAAAATTGTTTTCGTGTATTTGTCGACGATAATCAAAGTTGAGGAAAAAAAACAAACTTGTTCTTGTAAATAGATTTAAACAAACTAATTGTGAGAGTATATTTCAGCACTTCTAAATAGGTAAAAAACTCTTTTATATCCTGAGTAAAATGAGAAAAGTATGTCGTAATATGTACTTATATTATTAAAAAAAGGTCAGATGTGTTTTTTTTTTCAACTTTAAAGAAGGTTATCATGACGTCATTTAGGAAACTTTGACTTTTCTCGGGAAAGGAGTGGTATACGTCTTTTGCAGCAAACAAAAAAAAAAAGAAGACTTCGAACGAAAATGATAACACCATCAGACTTTGGAATGTGTGAGCTGAATTGAGTCAAGGAAACCGACTTATAAATCATCGTGCTCATAATTAGTTTAGTCCATAATTTTTTCCTACAAAACATTTGTAAATCATATTGAAAACAAACTATTATCGGAATTTTAAAAAAGGCCATCGGGCAAAATGCTTATAACTTTTGAAGGAAGATAGCTAGAGCCCTGTAGTTTTCACCATTCGAAAGGGGAGACAAGGGGACGCCTTTACTTCCAATATTGTATTGGACGAAATCATTTAAAAATCAGTCATTTCTAAAACATATCAAAAAAATGCATGAAAACGATCTGTCATTCCGATGAAATTTTGTTTCTGACATCTGATCTAGATAGAGGAACTTCAGATGTATAGTTCAAGATATAATTCGAATGATTATGTTTCTACCGCCTAATGTTGAACAAATAAACTTGTCTATTCAATCGCACGAAAACTATAGAGTTCTTTTAATTTTTAAGCATATTTTCTTACTTTTCGTCAAAATTTCATCTGAATGACAGGCCGCTTTTTACACATTTTTTCGATATTTTGTAGAAATGACTGATTTTTAAATGATTTCATCCTATACAATATTGGAGGAAAAGGCGTCCTCTTGTCTCCCCTTTCGAATGGTGAAAACCGCAGGGCTCTAGCTATCTTCGTTCAAAGGTTATAAGCATTTTGCCCGATGACCTTTTTTAAAATTCCGATAATAGGTGCCACACAGAATTTTAAAATCATTTCAGACAAGCTTCAATCTTCTATGTTCAATCGATCACTTCCGATTCATTTCGAGTTATTACGAAGGACATAATTGGTAAGTAATTATTAGCGTGGAGTGTGGATGTCTGGATAGATGTTTGTGTCGGGGGGACAAGAACACCTATAATCTAGAATTTTTTTACTCAATATACAGATACTACTACAGGCTATACAATGGTCACAAAAATCGAACAATGAAAAAACCATTATTTTGGGTCAAGAAAATGGATTACCTTTAATAGATAATTAATAATTTTGTTAAAAAATATTTCATGAAAATGATGAACCCAAGTTTAAAAGTATTAGGGATGCATTAATTATTGATATGTTTCGTATTATTCTTGACGGATAGTAGTTACTATCTTCAAACAATGCTTTATTTTCTCTATCTATGCATACAAAACGAATAAAATTATCTACTAAATGTTATCATAGATACGATTCGTATTTGAAATTCTTATCTTTCATAAAAATATTAGTCATAATGATACAATATTATTATAGATTATAGAATCATGTTAGAAAAGAAAGAATTATCTTTTATTTGAATACAATTTATTCAAAAATATGACAACAATTTTTACAGATAAATTTATTTCGATGGATGATATTTTTGCATTTGATTAATTAAATCTTCATAGATAATTTTATTTGCTGTCATAGCCCATGCAAAATCAAGATGGCTATAACCTAAAATATATTTTTCATAAATTAAATTTTGTATATTCTCAAAAATAAAAGCAACATCATCTGGATCAGCAAGCCAATCATCATGTGACCAAAATATTGCTGTTGGTATCTTCATTGGACGAATTGAATATATCGGTGGAGTTGTTTGATTGTAATGTAATTGATTTTTTTGTGGTGAACCATAATCATATGCTTGAAATTGTTTTGAAAGAAACATTTGTGCAAAATGAATCATATTTTTTACAGATGTTCCATCAGGTTCATGAGATACATAAACTTCCATTCGTGTATTATTCATATTTTTTTTATCTGGTCCACATATAACAAGTAGAATATTTTCACAAACCAACGGATCCCATATAACACTTCCACATGCATATTTTGCAAGCCATTTAATAATATTTGATGATGGAAGAAATTCTTTATAACCAAATAATAAATGCCACAAATATTCAGGATCTTTTGGAATATTAAATAAATATTTTAATGGGGATTTTATATATGCTAAATGAGCAACTGGAGCTAATGCACCATAAAAACTAATATTATTTTGAATAATACTATTCAAATTTCCAAATTCAGCAAAAGCCATCATTGTACCTTGTGAATGACCAATATAACCAATTTGTTCATATTTTGTTACATTCAATATATAATAAATCATTGATGGAAGATCATCTTTTGCCATTTCATCCCAACTAAAATCCCAAAATTCTATATCACGATCAGGATTGTATTTAACATGAGCACGAGAGTAATAATTTCCACGGGCATTACCAAGCCAAACATCATAACCAACATCAGCAAGAATAAAAGCAAGACTTTGATCTGGAAAATTCATTACCCATGTTACTGCTGCATCGAGAAGACCATGTTGAAGAAGAACAGGTCGACCTGTTGATGATGAATTTCGACCATGTGGAATACGAAAAACACCAAGAATATAACCATCATTTGTAATAACTTTATGTTCTTCACATGGATAACCTTTACTTTGAATCAATTGTGTAATATTATAGTCACAATCTGGGTCATGTTTCTGTACTTGTGATTGAGATACGAAGCAACATAATGAAAAAAAAAGGAGAAAATTTAAAATGTCTAGAATAAAAATGAAATAATAATCTGTAGAATAAACTACTGATACTTACACAATAGCATTCTCTTATAATTTCTTCTACTCTTTGTTATCAAGCAAAAAAAAACAAAATAATAACAATGCTCTAGATAGTATTCTCTTTTCTTTTATATCAATAGATATGGCGTGATAATAATAGTACGCAAAAGTCTTTTAATAAACAGACATTAATTTATATCAAGAGACGTATTCAATAGTATGGTTATATCTTGAACAGTCTAGGATATAACTTCACTATTAAAATCAACTGCATATCATAATCTATCGTTATTGTACTATAGGACTAATCTATCAAGAATATATTTATCTCAAGCTCTTTTTATGAAACAAGATCTAACGGGATTATTGAAGTGGAGGGATAAAAATTTAGACATTTTGTCTTCGTCATAGAAGTAACCATGAAAACGTCTCATTATAATATATGAAAGTACTTCTTTGTTACATTTCCGGAGGATTCAGTAAAAGGCTGATGAAGAAATGTGTTCAAAAATAGATCATATAAAACAGCCTTCCTGTGATTAGCAACAGTAGCACGGCTTGTCCAAACGTAACGCTGTTACGTTTTTGATATACTCTTCTCCAAATTTCTCGAAAAGTTTAAGAGCTAGGAAGTTCGTTCAAACGTCATTCGACGCAGCTTATCGAACTTCATTTATCATATAAAAATGACCTTTTTTGATTGAAGTCTCAGGCATCTAGAAATGTTTTATCAGGGCGTAACGCTGTTACATAAAAGGACCCTTTTTTTCCAGTGCCACTGAGAAAACTCTAATTTCTTGCGAAATCATTTCTTCAAATGTAATGCTCCAAGAATCACTTTTGTAGAGCATTGAATAGACTTTCAGGCAGTAAAAAAGATTTTCTCTAAAACATTTTTGTTCAAATAAAAAATGCAAAAAACAAACGTAACACTGTTACACAGTTTTTTGTTGACCAATTTTGAGGCACTTAGTGTACTCGGAATTACTTGATTTTTATAATTGTTACTGTTTTATAAGTAGACAATCTCCTCTGAAAAAATGAGATTGATACATCGATCTGAGAGCTTATAAACTGGGCAGGAAGTTGGAAACCTTATCGAAGCTTTCAATCCATTCTAAGCTACCAAAGTCAAAACTAAATAGACCATTTTGTAGAGAATTTAATTCTGCATCGAATGGTATGTCTCTTAGCCCTTGTTGAAAAAATTTCTTGGTTAAAAAATCCAAAATACGGTTTTTGAAAATTTTAAAATCCGATTTTTTGATATCAAAATCTGATTTTTATGCTAAATCAATATCAAATTCGTAATCAGCGTAAAAAACTGCATCTAATAGTCCAATGAGATCTGTCCAACTCGAAAAAAAATTTTTTCAAAACTTGATCAGCGAAGTGTCGCGTTACGCGGACAAGCCGAGCAACTGTATCGTATTTCACATTTTAATCCTGCAGTGATTGCGTTAACAGCTTCTTTTTCATATAATGCATAGAATTGATCAACATATTGAACTGTAGTTCAGAGGACTTTTTCTTTATATACATTATATTTTTACAAAAAAAAATTAAATCTTTTTTTGAAACAATAAAAACAAACAAAAACAAAATAGTTAATTAGGTGGATGATATTTTTGCATAACATTGAGTAAATCAGAATAAATAATTTTATTTGCTGATATAGCCCAAACAAAATCCAAATGATTATAATCTGGAATACATTTTTCATAGACCATACTTTTTAAATTATCGAAAATATAAGCAATATCAATTGCATCAGCAAGCCAATCATCAGTTGACCAAAATATTGCTGTTGGGATTTTCAATGCATGAATATTATATTCCGGTGGTGTTGTTTGATTATAATGTAATTGATTTTTTTGTGATGAACCATAATCATATGCTTGAAATATATTTGAATGAACACCTTGTGCATAATGAATCATATTTTTGACAGATGTTCCATCAGGTGCATGTGATACATAGACTGGAATTCGTGTATTATTCATATTTTTCTTTTCTGGTCCACATAAAATAAATAAAACGTTTTCACATATTAATCGATCAAGTATAACATCTCCACATGCAAATGTTCCAAGCCATTTTATTATATAAGATGATGGAAGAAATTCATTACGACCAAATAATAAATGCCAATAAAGTTCTAATTCTTTTGATGTTAATGATAAATATTTTATTGGAGATTTTATATGTCCTAAATGAACAACAGGAGCTAATGCACCATAAAAACTAATATTATTTTGAATGATACTATCAGGACGACTAAATTCTGCAAAAGCAATCATTGTACCTTGTGAATGACCAATATAACCAATTTGTTCATATTTTGTTACATTCAATATATAATAAATCATTGATGGAAGATCATCTTTTGCCATTTCATCCCAACTAAAATCCCAAAAAGCTTCATCATGATCAGGATTGTATTTAATATGTGCACGTGAATAATAATTTCCACGCATATTACCAAGCCATACATCATAACCAGCATCAGCAAGAATATAACCAAGACTTTGATCTGGAAAATTCATTACCCAGGTTGCAGATGAATCAAGAAGACCATGTTGAAGAAGAACAGGTCGACCTAATGATGATGATGATGATTTTCGACCATGTGGAATACGAAATATACCAAGAATATACCCATCTTTTGTAATAACTTTATGTTCTTCACATGGATAACCTTTACTTTGAATTATCTGTGTAATATTATAATCACAATCTGGATCACGTTTCTGTACTTGTGATATAGTCACTGGACAAAATAATAAGAATATCACTAGAAGAGTTAAAATGACTAAAATATCAGAAAGAAAAACAATTATCATTTGTGAAATTTATTAAACTTGTATATAACACTACACCTACCCAACATCATCTTATCGAAAGTTCTTTTTCTTGTTACTTCGATACAAAACATATACAGAGAAGATTATTCAATCTATATTTTCACTTACCTCTTATTAAATAGGTTTACATTCAGTGTTTCCAATAGAAATCTAAAACAAAATGTATTCTCGCACTTTGTTTATATGAGTAATACGTATGTTTAGATTTTCTTTTCGTCAGTAAAGTCTATTAAGTTGTACAAAAAAATAATTTTTTCACAATCTAAAAAAAAAAAAATAATAAAATTTTATATTCGTATTATTTCTTTAATGGAAAATATAAACTGATGCCTAGAAAACTTATGAAATGGTCAATACTTTTGTTGCAAGAAAACAAATATCAAAGGCAGAAGCGATTCATGATTTAAGAGAATCGAACAGTGTTTTATCCAATGTTGGAGCCGTGTCCCTCCGAAAATCAAGTTTGTGGTTCTGGTGCCATGTACTATGTGCCTGTATCCCCAACAATAGATGTTCGCCCTCTCGAAAGAGAAAATCTGAATTAAAACATTGAACCAAACCGAAAGGACCGACCTAGGTTTTTTTTAAAGTTCAAACTCAATCAATTTCAATCCATTTCGAAACCAAATCAATCCCATCTCTGATTAACACCAGTTTACGTAACAAAATATAATCTATAATTTAATACCACACAACAACTTTTAAAGAGGTGAAATCCAAATATAAATTTGTTTCAACAAAATGTCCTTAGTAACCTCTGATTTTTTTATTTTTGACAACATGTAAAACAGCAGATATTTCATAACTAGTCAATATTCTACATATTTTTTATTCCGCATAATACACATATTATTAAAAAGAAAAAATTGCTTTTATCAGTTATATTTCTATTGAAATATTTTTTATTTATCTAATTCGATGTATTTAATTGACGTATAGAAATTGGGCAAGTCGACCTCTTCATAACAATAGATGTCATGAGAATAACATTGTTATTTATTGGTGCATTTATGAAAATGAAATATCGATTGATTGATTCCTATAAGAAGAAAAAAAAAGAAAGAAGAATCTAGATGGAGCTTTCTTTCTCTTTCAATGATAACATTACTAACAGTCAATGATAAACCAATAAGAAAAATCAATTAAAATGCAATAGATATCCGTAATAAATATAATTAATAAACAAAAAAACATATTTTTTATTTTTTATTATTATTTTTTTAGATGGATCAATATATTGAATCTCCTAAATTGGCAACTTATCTACATCCAGGTCCTAGTGGACCATTTCTTGAATTAAATAATGAACCAATAAAACCACCATCACCAAGTACATCAGCTTTATTACAACATAATCCTAGTTTAATTGATCTTTGTACATTTAATTCATTATGTCAACGACTTGTTGAAAATTCTTCAACATCAAATACATCACCATATAAACCATTTGTTAATCCGTCCGATTTATATTTTTGTATTCCACCAATGACACAAATTGAATATTCACCAAAAACCAATGATTCAAATACAAAATCAAATATTATATCTGATTCAACAGCATCACCAATTAGTTCAGCTGGTGATTGTAGTCCAAATGTATCATCATATACTTCAACACCATATTCAAGTCCAAAAGTTAAAAATCTTTTTCAACAAAATTCTCCACTTGATTTATGTGTTACAAAAGATATTCCAACGATTAAACATCGACATAGTACTGAAAATATATCAAATTATGAATTATCAGGTAAAAAATTGACAAAAAAAAAATCAATTATTTTAAATTTAATTTGTTTTTTATTTAATTAAAGATTTTGTTAATAAACCTGAAAAATCTTCAATAGATAATACAAATAGTCAATATGATAATAAAAATATAAAACCAATAATAACTAAACATTCTCATACATCACCTATTCTTCATCGTTTACTTACGTCTCCAACAAAACCAAATGAAAATATTTCAGTATCAAATCAAAATGATTATATTGATAATGTTAATAATAAAAGTCCACAATATCGACCAAGATATTCTCCTTTTTATGTACCAGATACAAAAACTAATAGAATACTTACACCAAGAGATTATTTAAAAAAGTAAATTAATCATTTTAATTATTTTTTTTTCGGAATGAAACAAAAAAAAAAGTAACATGAAAAATTAAGTTAAAAAAAAAAGAACAGAGTTTCGATTAGTTTAATTTATTAAAAATGACTCTGAAACTGCAATTAATAACGTATATAAACAGAAGAATGAACTGTATTATAAAAGAATATACACTTTGAAATTTTTCTAACTTAAAACTATTTCGGGTTTAATTTGTAACAAAATAAAGAACATAAATGTAGATAGATAGAATATTGAATTGTAATTTTTTTTGTTTTGTATTAGAAATCTTAATTGTTCTCAATAGAAAGTTTTATTTATTGAGTTGTACTTGAAGTTCAAAACAAAAAAAAAAGAACTTTCCAAGGACACAATGTATAGTACGTTATATTTTCTAAATAAAATTAATATTAAATGTTTGATTTCTATCTCGAATTATTTATTTTTGCTAAGTTACAGTATTTACCTCTAGGCAAAATGACGTTGTCGAAACTTATTAAATAAAAATATTTTTCTTTTTATCTTGATAGAAATCGCAAATCTTCTCGTCAATCATGCCGTTCTCCTGTATTTACTCGACGTCCACCTGAACAAGATCAAACAATAATTGAAAATGATAGTAACAGTCATAAATCTCAATATGATTCATCAATTCAATCAACGGCATTACTTTCATTAGATACAAATGGTATTTTAAATGTTAATGAAACTAATACAACTAATTTATTATCATCATCATCATCATCATCATCATCATTATCAATAACAATTAATAATAATAATAAACGACCCTTAGAATCATCTTCATCAGAACAAATTTTAGTTAAACGTCGACAGAAAAAATCAATACCAAGTATGTTCATACAAATTAATAGATAAGCAAAAGTTTTGCATTAATTTTAGTATAGGAAAATCCTAGAAAATGAATCGTTTGTATTTTTGCCCCATGTTGCTATTTTTTGTCTCTAATAAGCAAGAATTAGAAATTCAAATATATGGATAGATAGGCTGTTTTTTGTTTAAATTAAACATTAACTTTACTTATCTGAGTTGACATCAAAAATTTGTTGAAATTATTGATATTAAAATCATCAATTTTCTTATCTTAAAAAACGTTTAAAGTTTGCTTGTCAGATGTTTCAAATGGATTCTTTTGACATAGTTTTAAATCAAAACTAATCAAATAATTTTGTTTTTTTGAGAAAAAACCCGAAACATTGAATAAAAAAGAATGTTTATATACAATCTGATGGCAATCATCAAGGTCTATCAATTAAGACAAGTAAATTATTTATCACAAATTTCTATATTCATCAGCAACGACAGAATATTTTAGTATTTATAGTAGACTCAACAATCTTTATAAAATCTCTATTGGGAAAATTAAGGAATGAGAAAGAGGCGAGCGAATATTTTTATGCCATTCCGATGAACGAGAATTTGTGCTTCTTATCTTTATCTCACATTTTACCCTGGATACAGCTGATAAAGTTTAACAAAAAAGAAAAAAATTTACAACAGACATGCACTTAAAGAACCACGACAACATTTGCTTCTATGTAATTGTGACTCTTGAAATAAGAGTTTTCGATGTAGTATACTTGAAACGCTGAATAATAGTGGAACACTAATGTTCACAGGAACAAAAAAAAAGGAATTATATTATGGCTTTGCTCATTTTGTTGAAAATGTTTCTTAAGTATCTGAACTTAACTACTGAAATTGAAGAAGATATTCAACAGTTTCTAGTTTATCTAACTCGAATTTCCAGTATACTTATTACAGAAAGCTCTCGGCAATATAGAGCTTAACATTTAGTTATATAAAATTCAATGTTTCTTCAAGCACGTTTTCTAAGTCTATTTCACTACGAAAATATGATCGAAAGTAATGAAAAAATTTTAACATTTGTATAAATCTATTAATCTGATGGGACGAGAAACAAATGTTTAAGTCTACTGAAGTCTTGTAGTCCCACTATATTCCATACGATTGATCGAACTTTCATATTGCAAAAGTTTTTTTTTCGTTTGATAGTCAAAGTAATTATTACGTAACTTAAAATTAATATGTTCAATCAAACCATGAAGTATTTTTTTATGCAAATTTTTTTTTATAGCAATTATGATTCAACAAAATTATTGTATATCATATCCAAATGACATTTCACGTTGTGTTGATTGTCAAACAGCTAATCCCAATGATGCTTCAATGCATCTTACTGGTTGTCGATTTCAACATTGTCGAACGTAAGAATTTAGAATCTTTTTTTTTTTACATATCCATATTAATATCTATGACAAAATCAAAATAGTTTTCTATAAAATTCAAGAATCTTATAAAAGTTACTGTTTCTGTTAAATGGCTAGTTCATCTAATCAAGATTAACAATTGTAGAATTGAATATTTTCAAGAGAAACTATTCGAATTATTTATTGTTCAAATTAGTGTGTCACTACAACGCAATCAGGACCAGTTCCAATTCCAAAGTTTTCTATTCATTTTCTCAGGTTATAAAAAATACGTAGTAGCTGCAATACTTTTCCTTTGCAGAGAAAAACATTTCTTTTAAAAATTTAGTAATTGAGTGTTCTTTTACTTTCTCGTTCCATATAAATATTTGTAATTCTTCAACTGAGAAGAAAAAAACTCCGTGTTCATCTTTACTCATGATTGGTCAATGCCTATTGCATTTATAGTAATTAAATACAAAATGTTTAAAAATGAATTTCTACAAATGTCGAAATCAATAATAGACAATGCTTTTTTTATTTTCTATTCAGATTAAATTATTTCGGTGATAATATATATGAAGTTGAAGGATTTACAACATCTAGTGAAGCTAAAACAGAAGATATAGAATCATTATATACACTAAATTCAAGTAAGATAAATTATTTAATAAGAACAAAAAAAAAT